TCGGACTGTCACTGGGAGAGATGTTGACTCTGACTAGCCTAACTATATCGCATCGACTAAACATATGTGACAGCCACTTACCGATAGCCTGGTCGGGTTCTCGATGTGCCAGATGGCGTCTGCCTTTGTAGAATAAGAAGAAGGCGCCGTTGGGATACTGTTGCAGAGAGTTGTCCAGCACACGGTCCACCGCCTCCGTGTCCTCTGAATATAGTGCAATGCAGAATGTGTTAGCAATCAAAGCGAGAGCAGGGGCCCAGGAAGCGTTGAGTCGATGGTGTGTACTGGTTATTGGGTGAGTCGATGGGGTGTACTGGTTATTGGGTGAGTCAAACAAGTGAAATAGTATTCCAAATACAGCATTATACCTTTGACCAGATTGAGGTAATACACTATGACGTAGTGGTAGCACAGAATCGCCAGGTTGCTCATATTCGCCCGCAAACTCCCCGTCTCACCACTCTGAATATTTTAGCAATTTGAAAAATTGGGTTTAGTATGAGCGGCAAATCAAACACAGATAGTAAGAGCATCTATCATCATGCACAGTGTCAGGTAGAGTGCCAGATATGGTATAGGGTTTAGGGTTTTAGGGTTTATATCCAGTAACCTGCACTGGACATGTCAGTCACAGCTCACTTGTCGCAAGGTGTGAAGTATCAAGCTACCGACCACAACAACCATCATAAGCACACCAGACCCACACAACAGCCATAGCAACCACCATGAGCACACCAGATCCACACAACAGTCACAACAACCAGCATGAGCACACCAGACCCACACAACAGCCACAACAACCACCATAAGCACACCAGACCCACACAACAACCACAACAACCACCATGAGTACACCAGGCAAACAAACAACCACAACAGCCACCATAAGCACACCAGACCCACACAATAGCCACAACAACCACCATGAGCACACCAGACCCTCACAACGGCCACAACAACTACCATGAGCACATCAGGCAAACAAACAACCACAACAACCACCATAAGCACACCAGACCCACACAACAGCCACAACAACGTGTCTAACACGCAGCGACGGGCAGTGTAGAGCACTCGGAAGACCAACACGGCTCTGCAAATACGATAGCATCTGTTGGGAGACCATGCTTGTACGAGCGATACACTGAGTCCTGTCCCAATGACCAATGAACCTCTTGGGATTGCTGGGTCGTATCTAACTGCATCTGATCGCAGAGACAGAGATGGACACTACACGGTATCAACGTTTGCAAAGGGCTTACTTGGTACAGCAGTTTCAATCCGAGCTCCCTGTTCCCCTTGAACCCAATAAACTCAAGCAACTTCAGTATCCGAGGCGGCAGCATGGAGATCATCTGGTGATCGATAGAAGCGAAGACTGTGTAACCTTACAACGGTTCTAATTACACTTTTGTAGATATTTAGAATATACTGATATGGGAGCAAGTAGGTGGGAGGCGCATTCCCACACATGTTGCTGGTGATGTGCTGCTCGCGATATATATATATATATATATATTCATACATACATACATACATACATACCTACATACATACATACATACATACATACATACATACATACATACATATATATATATATATATATATATATATTCGATTGATGTGTTGCGGGATGAGT